ACTGCCGTGTGTCAGGGCATAATTTTGATCAGATCAACTCGCCGTTTTTTTTAAACCTTTACAGCTTAATGACCTTTAGATGCTACTGAGCGTTTTAGGACCCACAGCTCCGTTCACTCAAAAGAAAGAGCAGAAAAATTACAAATATACATATATGAGGAGTATCTAATCAAAATATGATATTTGCACCATTCATTATTTCACAGGAGGAGCAAAAAACGAAAAAAACATAAATCCAAAGTAAGTGAGGGTTTGCGCTAAGTCTTTTTTGACAGCAATGGAACTGAAATGTCGAACAACATAGAAATAATAGTTGGAAATAGTCTGTATATTGTGCTAAATAAGGAGCCTTCTTAGATAAAACTATTCTGCCGTATGAATTACTTCAACTTTCAACACCATTCCAGTTTATTTATTTATTCCAAGCAGAAATATTTGAGCGCATTAAAAATGAAATAAACACCTACATGATGCAAAAGGATCCCAATTTGAGTTTCATATTTACAACATGTCAAAGTATCGAGTGTTACTATTTACTGGGCCTGAAAAACAGGCATAACGTTTGACACATAAAATTTGAAAAAATCGGCAGGTGATACATTTTAATGACAATACAAAAAGCGGACCTTTCAATGATAGATTGTTTAAAATACGACAGATATTAAAATTATTAAATTATTCTTTCGCCAAAGTTCCCCAAATTGGGTTACAAAATTTGTCTGCTAACAGGAGCCTCAGGATTTGCTTCTTCCATTGAATCTGAATCTGGAAAGGAAAACAAGATCACTACCAGAAGACCAGATTCCAGCTTTCAAGGTTGCTGTATGGCTCTCAATATGATTCGCGTCTCTCCCTTTGTTAAAATACTTACCAGAGCAAGGTATTTTGAAAGCAGTAGCTATTAGAAGAAATCGTATAAATAAATGCGCGTTGCCGGATCCTTTCCAATTTTTGCAAAAACTTTCCTTTTATCTTTGTAAATATCTCGAAAATGTGTGGTCTCTATAAAAAATTAATTATGAAGGAAAGGTAGCAAATTTAATAACCTTCAGTTGGACATATCACTTGTTTTGAGCGGATAGAATCACGGACAATTTTTTCTTTAATCAAAAAGCACATATGTAATGGGTATACACTTTGGTTATAGTTATATATGTACATGCTTTAGGCTTATTGTTAGACACAAAAATTCGAGCTCTATTCATAACCTAGTTTTGCTTAATATGTTTTTAAATACACACTTTAAAACATAACCTGACAACTTTTTGTGGTCAAACTATCTTTCCGGGAACATGTATAATAGTAGTATATTGATGCAATCATATACCATAAGAAATAAAATAGATTCAAAATGCTTCTTAACCAGTTATTTGAACATGCTTCTTTATAAACTTTCAAAGTGAATTCTATTTTTTATGAACTGTAAGAGCTTACCCCTACGGAAATGGACAGTCACAAATATTCCACTTGATTAACAAATTTTTATTTATTTACTTTTGCACTTGCTTATGAAGTTCTGACTGCGCTGCTCATCACTGATTTAAGTACAGTTCTGGCGAAAAAAAATTTCCTCCACTGAACTCTCTCTGAGGGTGCGGGCTGGAAATGGATACTCCAGTATGTTCTGTGCGTTGTCAGAATGGTGTCCAGATATGATCAGGCGGAATCGCGAGAAGGCTCGCTGCTCTTCAATAGCAATGCCCTTTAATCACGGGTGTTAAGCGGACCGTGCCTATTGGACGACGTTTGCAGTCGGGGGTAACGGACTCTATTTCTAGGGTGCCTCACTGACACCATCGCCTCGGTGAGTAGCAGTGACGTTATCATGGCATGGCTAGGTCTCTGTGCCAGGCCACCTCGCCTTCGGTACAGCCCGGCGCTGCTTGTCCTGGGTTTCCTCATGTGTTTCCTTTTGGACAGTGACTAGGCGGGCGACCGTAAAAACCAGATAGTATGCAAAACCAAAAAACAGCCTCGCACAATAAAAAATCCGACAAACACTAACAACTAAGGGACACGACTAACAAGGACTGCATAGATAGACCTCGGCTGGGTCCTGGACATAGAAGGGGCATTCAACAACGTTAGCCTGGATCTCTACCATGCTTCGTACAAGGATTGTAAACGCTAAGCTAGGCACCAGCGTAGTCATCAGTCATCCAAAATTGAGGACTCCGCAAGGCGGGGTACTGTCGCCGCTGCTGTGGCTTTGCGTAATAAACAACATTCGTCTAAGACTGAACAGGGAAGGGGTCAAAGTTTTCGCGTATTCAGATGATGTAGTGATTTTGGTATCCGGATTGTGCAAAAATGTGATAAGCGAATTGATTCAAGGAGCACCAGGGAAATTGGGTTCCTGGGTAAATAGCTGCGGGCTCAACGTTAATTTCTCGAAGACCGAATCACTATTATTCATTACAAGGAAAAATATCCTCATTTAACCCAGCTTCTTAAACGGGCATACCCTTTCTCTTTACCTTTACGCTAAGTATTTGGGAGTCATTCTCAGTCCGAAATTAAACTGGAAAGTGAATACAGAGCACCAATTAAAAAGGCCTATATGCTCTGTATTCCTGCAAGAAAATCTGAAAATCGACCTGATCTTATGCTATGGATGTACAAGGAGGTGATTCGCCCAAAGGTTAGCCTGCATTGCGATTATTGGGGCGATCAGATCATGCCCAACAGAAGCATTGAATGTCATCTGTAATCTGCCACACCGATTGATCTCTTTATCAAGGAAAGTGATTCACGGAGTGGGATCAGGTTGAGGGAACTTGGGTTCAGGAAAGAGCGTACGTACGGGCATGGACGTATCCTGTAAACTTTCAGTAACCCAAGCATTCGCGAAAAAACTAACTACATTTGTCCTTCGCTTCTCTTTAAGAAAAACTTCGGCATACTTCTTCCATCAAGAGAGTAGTGGAAGGAATGGATTGTGGCGCAGGGGCGGGAATTATTTCAACCGACCTCCAAATCGAAGAATCTATTCGATTACCAAATTCGGCCAGTGTTTTTCAGGCAAAATAATTTTAGCCTCGAAGCTGGCGGGAACCAGCATTGCTATTTTCTCAGATAGTCAGGCAGCGATCAAGGCACTTCGCTCTGTAATCATCACCTCTAGCGTAATAGAACGGTGCAGGGAGAACGTTGTGGTTTTAGCTGACAGGCACATCGTTGCACTGATCTGGGTGCCGGGAAACAGCAGAATACATGGCAACGAGATGGCTGACGAGCTGGTCAGGAATGGGTCGGCTCTAGATATCTCAGAGGCAGAGGAGGTTCTTATGCCTCTGAGCTTTATCAAGAGTCGAATCTCTCAGCACTGGAAAACTGTGGCTAGCAGGGGTGGAAGAACCTACATTCATGTAGTGTCTGAAGCACCTACATTCATGTAGTGTCTGAAGCAGTCTGTGGCCCACCTACTGCGCAAAACGCACTGCTTTTCTAATTAAACTAAATTGGAGGGATCTATCTCGACTTACTGCCGTTTACACAGGCCACTGGGCCGTGGGAATCCATGCTGCAATACTAGGACTGGAACACAACACTTCTTGTCGTAATTGTAGTTCACCAGATGCAGCAGAAACCGTGGAGCATCTGCTCTGCGATTGCTAAGCATCAGGCTTCTAGGCAAACCCTGCTTCTGCGGCTTAACAAACATAACTGGTATTAACCCACTGCAACTTCTTAAGTTCTTGAACTCCACATGCTGGGTTTGAGATATATAACCGACTTCTGCAGCTTTCTTTTCGGGCTTTCTTTTCAGGTTAAATTGCGAGTAGTGGTTTTAAAACGGCACGCACAAGTGCTAATTAGAGTTGTTAAACTCGCCACTTCAACCAACCAACCAATAAACAGTTCATTATATAGGCGATATGTACCACAATGTATTTTAATAAATCTTAAGCTGATGCCAGATAAAACGCTTGCTTCGCTTCGCCTGACAGATTCGCTTTGACAAATGAGATGAATTGTATGAAAATGCACAAAGCATGCCACATAGATCGTTGCAGCTGCAGCGCGAAGCGAAAAGATGGCCAACGTTTTGCGCGCGTTGACAGTCAGTTGGTTTAATATTTATTTTGTTTCATCCAAATTCGAGTTTTCATGCT